GGAATACTATTATCTGCAATGGAAGGGGATAATTAGTTAGAGAGAATTTTGATTTGTAATGAAAAATCGTAGACAGTATATTTATAGGGAAAATAAATTTGGTTAATGCTGATATCACATAAAGATTTTGGAATGTAATATCATTTCCATACTTAAGATATGTTTTATATATGGTATGATATCCAAATAAATCAATATACCATGTCAATATAAAAGTACAAAATAGATAAATCATACCATATTTAAGATAATAATTACCATATAAAAAACTGTAAATTTGAAAAGCTTGTAGAATAAGGAAATTATATAATAAATATATAATATTTTCATAAATATGGTATGATATCGAAAATAATATCAATATACCATGTCTAATATATTTACAAAATATAGGGAAATATAAATTGGTTAATGCTGATATGACATAAAGATTCTGCAATGTAATATCATTTCCATACTTAAAAGATGTTTTATATATGGTATGATATCCAAATAATATCAGTATACCATGTCAAATATAAGTACACAAATAGATAAAATCATACCATATTTAAGTTAATAATTACCATATAAAAAACTGTAAATTTGAAAAGCTTGTAGAATAAGGAAAAATATAATAAATATATAATATTTTCATAAATATGGTATGATATCGAAAATAATATCAATATACCATGTTAATATATTTACAAAATGCCCCTTGTCATAGTTTGTAATTTTAAACTGAAACTTCGACAAAATTACTAAAATGCCCCTGATCGATTTTGGTGATATCAGCCGAAACTTTGCAAGAATTACTAAAACGCCCCTAATCGTATTTGGTGATTTCAGACTGAAACTTGCCAAAGTTAATAAAATTCCCTAATCACCTTTTGTAGGCTCCATGTTATTTTTATAGCACAATTTTGACCTGATGCCAAATTGCCGCATTTTTGTCAATTTGACCTTTCCAAAAACTATCTATCATTTTGACCAAAATGTGCTCGCTTTAGTCTATTTTACTTGATATACAAATGTCCATTTAACGGAAATACGTTGCTATAAATTGCTCTGAAAATGCTCTTTTCTGCACAATATTTACGTAATGCCAAAAGTTGCTATAAATTGCTCTTAAAACTATATCATTATGTATATGTGTGTTTTGTATGGGTCTTTGTTAGTATTCATAATAATGCCCCTCATCGAATTTGGTGATTTCAGACTGAATGAATGATTATTTACCTGTAAAGAAGATCATACAACCTTACAAGTTCTTCAGGTTTTGTAACTTTTTCATTTTTTTTTATCACATGGTGAGAAACGTCATTCATTTAATGGTGACCTCGTGGTGAGAAACGTCATTATTAAGAGGTGACCTAAGCCAACAATTTTGTATATACTTAAGATGACATTTTATTAAAACGTACTGTCAAGTACTAACTATAGAGTCATGGCACGCCATGACAAATTTTTTAGAACCTTGGTTTATGATGATTAGAGCGGCTTGATTAGTTTTGAAATCGTGAGATATTTAGGGAGGATGTTTATTAACCAAAAAAACTAAAATTTTATTTTCTATTTATTGAGCATGTTTATTTTAGAATTTTGAGTTGATATTACATTATTACTTATTAGGATCTAGGAATTGCAAATTTAGTTTTCAATTGCCATATTTAGTAGGGATTACCTGTTTCAGTTAACAATTGACAATTTTAATATTATTTGAGGTAAATAGCTAAATGTTATGTTATTGTTTATTTATTTATTAGGAAATTCCTATTTCCGTTATCTTATTAATATTTGTTATGAAATATGTAACTGTATAATAAGAAACTATTTAATTTATTAATATTTCCTCTTTTAAGTTTCAAGATTAAGTAATCAAGGTCCAATTAAATAAAACTATAGGCAATTAGGCATGATGTCAAAAGGTTGGCCGAATCAAATAAATCAACTACACCTAAGGTCAATTAAGTAGTTACAGCATCTTAAATTGTCCTATTGAATAGAATAAATTAAGCTATAGCAACAATAACAGTATAGCTTTATAATCATATTTAATACATTACGTATTTATAAATTTAAAAAAATGGGTGGTAAAGTGTGACAGACCATACATAACAGTTATCAATATTGAGACTCTTTGACATGTGTAATCTAATTTATCTTTACTCTTTGCAATACTAACAAACAGTTGGTTGCGTTCAACGGTACGTTGCCCTAATACAGCACCTATAGCTGAAAGGGTAAATCGGGAAATCGAAGAATTAGACATACCCTCGGAAGCACTAAAGACTGATAAATGATAACTAACCTTTCAAAATGGAAACGCGAGTTTTGGCATTTGATATTGGAAATTTATGCCCTAGCCAATGAAATTCAGTCATGGATGCAGCTTGTTCAGATCTTGCTTCATCCATAACAACCTGTATTTATAAAAAATGAAAAGAATGGAAGAAATAAGATTTGTGTGAAGTTAAAAAGGTATTCAATTAATAGCATTACCTCGAATTTAGCTTTAAAAAGGTCAAGTGCAGGTCCAGTCTTACTAAGATGTGGGATCATGTCCACGCCAAACATAGTCTGTAATTGTCATGCCTTATGCAGCTGCACCTTTTCTGACAGCATCCACAACAACAGCAAGTGAAGCACCTATAATAAAAGTAAAAGATTTTCTTGTTTCTTTAAATTAATTTATCAAGTAGCATGAAAATGTTTCTTTAAATTCTTTAAATTCACAACAGCTGAAAAATAAAGGACGAATGGTTCAAGCATATAATCATTAGTACATGAGACAATTTAGAAATTAAATGCAGGAATATTATTGATCAGCTCCTTGAAACACATGCACTTATATTCTCAAATGCAGGACTACTATTGATTGGTTCTCCTCTTGTCTGACTCATGGTACACCTGTAGTAAAGGAAAGATGGAAAAAATCTATCAGAATGGTTACTTCAAATGCCAACAGAGGAAGGAAGACAATCTGCAGGCTTAAAGGTGGAGGCTTAGTAACTGCATAAAACAAAATTAGTATGGAATCAGAACCGATATACATGGTATTATTTTCTAAACAGTTAATATAAAATATCATATGTTGTCATACCATGGCTATTTTCAAGATAGATGAAAAGAAGCAGTTCAAATGCAATAAGCAAAGGTGTGGCAACAACTGCATGACATGGTTCCCACTGCATAAAAGATAAAGAAAAAGTATTCCCTGATGCATAATGTAAGATATGGAAATGACAGTTCATAAGGTTTATACAGATTGTTCATACTTATAGTCTTACATATTAAAGTGAATGAAAAATGATGATGAAAGGAAGAAGAAAAAGAAAGAGATAATACATCACGGACATGGGGAACTGATGGTGCAGGTAATGAGAATCTTCCTCTGGCAACAACAACATGAAATAGGAAAAGTGGGAAGAAAATGACCCTGCATACAACAAAAATCATAATCCACTATGCTTTCATTCTGCAATTCATGCATAAAGGATTGAAAAACCTTCGGCTTTAAGAAACAAAACTCTCTCTTTCAATCTAAAGTCGCATAAGAACTTGGGGTAAACATGTTTAGAGGGGATAATCTAGATAAAAAAGGAGCCAAATCTCGAAGCAAACATAAGTACACAAAAACCCCAATAAGCCTTAATGATATGAATTCAGATACGTGAACAGAAAGTTCAGTAATCAGTACAAAGCTACAATCGGAGCTGATTTCTTAACTAAAGAGATACAATTTGAAGATAGGCTTTTCACTTTACAGGTCTGATTCATTACAAACGTCCATGAAATCACGCCATTATTATAAGTTTGTAAGCATCCATTATTGAAATCGATAGGGTTTGGGGGTTGATTTTGTTAGAGATATGGGACACAGCTGGACAGGAAAGATTCCAAAGCCTTGGTGTGGCATTTTATCGTGGTGCAGATTGTTGTGTTCTTGTGCATGATGTGAATGTGATGAAGTCATTTGAGAGTCTTAATAATTGGAAGGAAGACTTTCTGATCCAGAAAACTTTCCATTTGTTGTTTTGGGAACAAGATCGATGTTGATGGGTGCAATAACAGTGGTGGTAATATGGTCTTTTTGTCATTTTAAATTTAAATTCATCAAGATTCAACTTCCAATACACAAGTAACAAATGGAATGCGAAAACACATTTGTTTAATCTACTTTCTTGTTTTCAGGTGTCGGAGAAGAAAGCAAAAAGCATGGTGTGCTTCAAAAGGAAATATTCCTTACTTTGAAACATCTGCTAAAGAAGGGTTTAATGTTGAAGCTGCTAAAGAAGGGTTCAAAATGGAAACGCGGTTAGGGTTTTCAAAATCTTACCTGCATAAAGAACTCGATCTCCTAATCGAGCTTCAACATATTTCATCTGCATCTGAAGTAGAACACACAGGATCGAAAATTGTTGATGGTCGACGTGGTGCCCCTCAAGGCTTCCTGGGGTTACGCATAGGATCGATTCCATATCAGCAGAAGTAGAACGCATAGGATCGATTCCATGTATATATGAAATCAATGGGGTTACGCATATCGGCAGAAGGAAGGGGTTAGGGTTCGTATCTTTGAGTTTCATGGGGAGCTGATGTGTTGATTGTGTGGAGAGAAAACATAAGAATGAAATTAGGAATGAATCGTAAGAAGGAAGTTTTATTCGGGAGGCGCGTGTATTTTTTTGGGTCAGGATGATGTCAGCAAAATGATCCTAAGGTGTATAGTAAAGGAGGGAAATGCAATCAAGGGCCCTTGTTTCTTCATTGAAGAATTTAAGGTTTTGTTTTAGTAATATTTAGAGATGAGTAAGTAAATGATCAATGCCAATTTAGCAAGTGAGGTGCGGTTTTTCTCTTTTCTTTGGAATCTTGAACTTCTCCAAATTGGTAGATCTATCCACCAGAATGGTTGGCGGTATAATCTTAGGCCTGCTGACCGCCGTGCATCACTTTGTAAATCAAGCTCCTCGTTAGTTCTAGTTCATAGAAAAAAAATTGAATTTCTAACGAAT